AGTTACCTAGATTACTGTGCATTAAAATTTTTTTTATGTTATTTTAGCCCCCACCCCCCAACTTCCGAGCCAACCATAAATCATTCAATGTGTCAGAAAAATACTGTAAGAAAAAGCTTACCTATATTTTAAACTTTTATAGTAAAGTTATATTTATTTTGATCCAGACTTTTTAAAACTTTAAATCAGGTACCTCCACGAGTTCGCTAAAAAAAGAGCATAGCATGATGAAAACAAAATTTTATTGTCTAAATGTTTGTTATTATGAAGAGGAAGGACCAAAGTTTATTTTAATTATTTTTTTTAAAATTTTTCCTTCTTTTTAGAACATTCTAAATTTTGATTAAAAAACACACACAAAAAAACACCTTGTTTCTCATTGTATCACCGGAACTAGTAAAATAACATACAAGTTTTAGCACATTTTTTTTTTGTATGCGACACATTAATTTGGAAAATCTTGCAAAAATAAAAATAATTGTCTGATTTTAATGAAACTTTCAGAAACTATTCACAGATGATCGAAATTATTATAAATATTTTTTTTTATTAAAGTCATGCAGAAATTTTTTTTATAAATTTATTACCCCACATCTAATTTTATGAAAACTCTAGAAATTTGATTGAGTCCACTTTAGTGATTACAATAGTTAAAAGCACAAGGCTTTGAGGAATGCAAATCATGTTTTTTTTTTGTTTTTAATTGGACCACACCTACCTGAAAATCATCTCTGAATTGTAACATACAAAACTCAATAAAACAAAGATATTATTTAATTTCAAATGCTTTTATTTGCTTTTAGTTGTTTTTATGAATATGGACAATGTTTTCTGAAAGCAAAAAATTTTTTCGATGAAAAATGAATTTTTAATACAATTATTTGTTATTTCTTTAATTATAATAGATTTTTACATTTAAGTTGTTAAAATATTATAAAATTAGTTAAAAGCCGCACAGGATTTCATAAGTGTCCTTATGAGATAGATCTTTTTTTTAGTGCATTGTAAATTGTATTGTTTTGACTAATTAGAAGACCTGCAGTAATTAAAAAATCTAATTTTTTTTGTGTTTATAATCGGGCTGTAATTATAAAGTACGGAAGACCAACCAGAATACAATTAAGTTGCTTTATCCAAGTTAAGCATTGTTCTCCGCTGCTAAGTCCTTTACTTTTGCGAAACATATGTAGAGAAGTTAATTTGATTTTTCAATTTAAACTGAGAAGGGTACCTACAAGTATCAGTATGAAATTTATATGATCTTATTTTTATATTAATCTCAGTTATGACATTTTTCCATAAATGAGATATCAAAATTAATAATAAAGTGAATGAAAATACAAATAACACAGTAAAATGTAGTAATACATAAAATTATAGTATTTTAAATACACTTCTGATAAAACTTCATAAGAAAGGTACCTATAAATTAGATATCTTTCTTATGAAATTTAATCTCACTCTAAACAATCTTATTTTAATTTCTTTATATTTTCCATAAAGAATCGTAAATGTAAAGGTGAAAGCTAGTAAAAAAAAAAAAAAAAAAAAAATTAGAGCACCGAAAGTTTTCCTTAAAAATAACGAGGTAAATAATTTGTTCACTTAAATGTAAATAACTTCACTTCTCTCCTTCCATAGAAGGAATTATCCTCACATAATCCGTCATGTCATTCATCACTTGTCAAGCGAGGCAAAAGTTATTAAAAAAACTAATGAATTTTTAAAAAATGAATGAATTTTAAAAAAAAAAAAAAGTTGGTTTTTTTAGAAAGCCACGGTAAATATATATATATATATATATATATATATATATATATATATATACACACACATACATACATTTTAATGTTACCCCCACCTTAATTTTATGAAAACTCGAATGTGTACTTTTGTAATTTTTCAATAAAATGCAGAAGACTTTGAAGAATATAAATTGACTTTTTTTGTATATCGAGGAGTGTTTCCACCCAAACTTTAGCTCTGAATTGTAAAATACACAATCCAACAAAAACCAAGAAATCATTTAATTAAAAAAGATTTTAATAGCTTTTATGAATATATACTAAAGACATTATTGTCAAAATGTTTTTGATGAAAAATGAATTTTTACAAGAATTGTTTTTTTTTTCAATTTTAAATACAAAATGTGATAAAGTTATTAAATATTTTAAATTATGTTTGAAAATGTTCTTATTAAAAGTTTTTTTTTTTTTTTACAGATCTAAAATTTGAAAGCTTATTACAATCTGCAAAGCATTTCTATTTTTACAATAATTTTTTTAATATGCAAAAAAAAAAAAAAAAAAAAAAAAAATTATTAAAAACGTTTCCAGTGAAACTACGAAGGCCCAATTCAGAAATAATGTCATGTGTCTTAAGAGTTGTTTCTCCTCATAGTGAGGATTCAGCCTCATAAATTGCATTGGTTTCATGTCAAATTCTCTGACCATCATTGTTGCCTTTTCAAAATTTTTTACTTTTCTACATATTTCACTAAATATTTACATTTCATTTTTTTTTTTTCAGTGAGAGACATACTGCAATTAATTTTTTCTTTTTTTGATTCAATTTTAGCGACAGAATCAGTGGATCGCAACAAAAAAAAAAAAAAAAAAAAATATCAGACTTTTAAAAGCATTACTTTTTAGTTAAATAAGCTGGTTCACTTAAGAATCAAAAATGTCACTTCTGCCCTTCCGTCTGATAAATTGCCAACATTAGTTGTCGATACAATGACGTCAACATCAATTCACACTTCCAAAAAAACAATCATCATTAGACATGCTTCACTTATTTCCAACCAATTTTTTTCTGCTAAAAAAAAAAAGTTTGTTTCCAGCTTAATTAAGTATACTTTAAATTTTCTAATTTTCCTAAAATAACTTTTGAAAAAGTATAATTGAATTTTACAAGATTTTTAAACGAAGAATTTCAATTTTGTTTACAAAGTTGTCAAAAATGGCTGACATGATCGATTTTATGTAAATTTTGCCGACTCAAAAAGAAAAAAAAAAAAAAAAAGAAAACTAATTTTTTTACTAAAATTTCGGTCGTGCCAGAAATTAAAAAATACTTGTCTTTCCTCTCAATAATAAGAAACATTTTTAGACGATAAAAAATTGTTTAATCAAGTTTGGGGCCTTTTTTCATCAGGGTCCGGTATGCTCTTTTTAGTGAAGTATTGTTGAATATACCTACTCATTGAAAATGTTAAATTATTTATTAGCTTGAAATGAAAACTAAAATAAAAGCTTAATTTATAAAAATTCATAATTATCGGCTTTTTTTGTGGAGGTACCTAATTTTTTTTTACCGATAAGGGATTCAGTTTGAAATACATAGTATTTTGTTTATTGGAAATTCAATCTATTAACTTAGAATTAAAGCTTCTTCCTTTTTTTTTTTAAATGTATTTTTATTTTAAAATTTATGTATCGCTTTCTGGCATGGGAGGAGGTACCTAGAAATTACAATTAATTATTTGATAAAGTTTTTGCGTGTGTCCTCTTAGAGAACCATAGTAAGAAGATGCATAATTTTAAATAATTGAAAAAAAATTATTGCATTTCGTTTTATTTCTAATGCGTGGCTTTTCAAAGCTAAAGGAGGACTTAGAACATGAGGCTACGTTAAAACTAAAAGCAAAAATTGCAAGGGAAGTAAATCAGTGTTCTGTAGAAATCGTTGAAACTTTAAACCCCAATAAAGTACATATGAATTTTTACGTAATTCATCTGACCTTTCGTGATGAACGAAAGCAAGTAAAATTATCTTAAATTATTTAATTAAAGTTTGCATCAGCTAAAAGATCTCAAAAGTTTATAAATGTACTTGTACGGTATTTTTATTTATTGATAAATGTTGATATACTGACTACAGAAAGATAGACAACAAAACAGAAAGGCAACTGATGAAATAAATACAAATCAATGCAACAAATATTTTTTGCATCTAAAATAAAAAATAAAATTCAACCTGGATAAAAATTATGCCACTTTTCCGTACACGTGTTCGTCTTGCGAATGTGAAGACACGTGTTTCATATCAAGATGTAGCCGGTCGATAGATATGCAACATAAGAAGAGTTATATTTATAAACAACTACAAAACACTCGTCAACATCAAACGGTTTTGATCTCATTTCTGAAATAAAACTACTCACGGCGAATTAACTGTTTAACTTTTTCTTCAACTTTGTTATTTTTTTCACTCCAACTGACACACAAATCCGAAAACACCGCCATTTTGAGAATTAATTGACAAACAACTTCCGGTAAAAAAAAAAAATTACGTTTCAATCAAAGGAAAGTTCACTCATGCAAGGGGAATAACTTTAGTCAAGGATAAATTCGAAAAAATGCCGTCAAGAGGAAAGATTAGAAACGTAATTTTTCCACATTCAAAATATATATTCTCCGACGAAAAATATAATAAGTCGTCAAGTGGTAAAAATTATATGAATAAATGAAATTGCTACTCATAAAAAGGAAAAAACCGGAAGTAAAATAAATCTGAAAGCTGTAACGACCACGGAGAGATTTGATTGGTCAAAAACTAACCGCAGACTCAAATAGTGTTTAGTGTGTGAGACGAATTGGAGGTTGGATAAAATAACAGCCAAAATTGCTTTTTGGTAGACGTGAATGTCTTTTTATTGTTAATTTGCCCTCGACCGTGCTGAATAAGGGTAACAGGAAATTTTAGTCTGACTTTACTACAGAAATCGACTTCTCTTGCGCTTTTATTTTATTTATTTATTGTTGTCCTCTGTAAACATTATGCTTCCTTCTCTTCCTCCTCCTCTCTCTGTTGTTTTTCCTCCTCCTCCCGTCCCTCCCTTTTAAGTGCCAGTGACGTCACTAAGTCACTTGCCCGTCCGCTCGAGAAATAAGGGCTTCCCCTTCACCTAAAAAACGAGTCCTTTAAATAACAGGAAAAAAAAAAATTAACACACGACCGAAATGTTGTCCGGGAATTTTCATGCAGTGGAAAGCAGTATGGAGACCTGTAGTATTGTAGATGAACGGAGTGAACAGAAAAGAGTAAGTATGACACTGTTTTTTTTTTTTTTTTTTTTTTTTTTTTTTAAATATGTATAAATACAGTGTCTCTCGTACATTGTGTCTGACTAAAAAAAAAAAAAATCTCTATTCAGGGTGTATAGTGAATTTAACTCCTGTGTTTGTCTCTTGTTGAGTATAATTGATAAGATTGATCATTAAATAAAGGTCTAGCTGTTAACTTTTCAAAAATAAAAGTAACAACCAAACTAGCCGATGGTACTAAAAACTAAATAATGTTAGGCGTAACTCTTAGTCTTAAGTTCTCTTTTTTTTTCCGTTTCAACTGCTTTCTCTATTTGAATACAAAACAGAAAACACCCATATACTTAATTTTTTTTCTCCTAATGAAAATAATTTAATCTCTTAAGCGATTTTAGAATAGAGTACATTATTGTACTAAAAAGCATGTCTGGATCTTTTCTTTACCATGAGCATTGTCTTGTTTTTAGGTTTAAAGAAAATCTACTCGTAAAAAAAAACTAAACAAAAAGAAAACATTGTGTATTTATCTGGTTCGTCATAATAATTACATTCAACTGCTTGTTTGCGTCATATATAAAAACACTGCTACATTACAAGAATGTGCTGAAGTAACCTTTTTAGGGCTCGGAAAGGTTAAGGGGGATCAATTTAACATCTAAACTAATAATAAACTGATCCCCCAATTTTCTTTAAAGTAGGAAAATAACCTCTTGCGTTTGTTTTAAAAATGAGATTTTAAAAATCCTGTTTCTTATTTATTTTTTACTTTATTTTAGTAATGAACTGTCCTACTAAAAATTAAAATAAGCCTTTTTCAGCTTATTTTTACTTCGCAAATGTTTCACTTTTCTGTTGGAAATTTATCTTACATTTTTATGAAATGAAATTTCTCCTACGATGTTCACATAGGTGTTAAATTCGTCGTAGTAAATAAATGTCTTTTCTTAATTTCGTCTGTCTGAGATTGGTTAAAAAAAATGCTTCGTCAATAGAATAAAGAAACTATTCTATCGGGTAGGATTAGGAAAATTATTATCTACATGCCTGTATCTGATATTGCGACTTTATTTGTAATTTACAAGGTGTTCGGGAGTGCGTGTGTGCTGTTAGTTTTTCTTCAGATTGTTCTAAAAATGCCACTAGTAAGCAGTGGCCATGAAAACGGGGATCGATTGCACTGTCGGGATTGTTTGTTAACAAGACCCCCACTTTATGACCACCTTGTAATAATCCCGCTTTGAAATGCCCATTTCACTTTTTACGCCTCACAAGGCGGCTTTTTTCCCCTCTTGCATAAGAATGTCACGTTCTCATTATTTTCTCGTCGCTTCAATAATTATCTTACACTCGACATAACTTTATTTACCATTTTGTAGCTCCTAATTTAATACTCGCTTTTTAGGGTGTTCCTCATTTAAAATGAATGATCACTAAGGTTTGAAAATTCATGTTATTTTTCCCTTCTTGTGAGTGATTTTATATATATATTTATATAATTACACACATTTCTGAATAATACTAAAAAAAAGTTTAGCAAAAAGTAGTACTACTTTTGGTAGCGAAGTTAAACAAGTGTCATGACTATTGATCTTGTGACTGATAATATCACCGTAAGTGTACTAAAGACGACAATAAATCGACTTTGAAAATATTTTTAACCTCCTGACTGTGACAGTGCGCTCTGAAAATAAAATTAAGAATTTAAAAATCAACTCTTCAATTTCTAACTGTACAAGTCTTTTCTATTTTTATTTTTTTTGATCGTGTGAAAATGCATTGAAATGTAATATTAGTAAAGAAAGTAGTACTCAATGCTTAATTAAAACTATTAAAAATAAAGCAAATAAATTACTATAAAACATTGTAGCTGAAACGGATTTTTTTTTTTTTTTTTTTTTTTTCGAACCTATATATAAGCTCATTTTCGTATTTGAAATTACTATTGTTAGTGAAATATCTAATTCACTACTGACTGAATGTTTAAGATGTCCTCACGCTGCATGTATTTTCTTTTCAAATATTACTTCACCCCAAACTTAAAAAAAAAAAAAACTGTCAGTTTCTTTGCGTCTCTTGTACAGTTTTTTCTTGTATTCATCTCAAAAAAAGCTAACAGAATTGATCTTGTTGATTCATCTGATCAACAGCTTGGTCTATAAATGATTATCATTTGAAATTTCTTATTACTATTTTTTTTCTTCTCTCCTATTTCAAAGTAGGCCTCGCTTATTTGTGACTTATAATTTTAAAATTTCTGTCGTTTGACTAGTTTCACCTTTAATGGAAGACTGCACCTAACGTATTTTCGCTTTATGTTCAAGGATATGAACTACTTCCTCATTTTTTAAGAGGCTGGAAAAACTCGATGACACACCACGGATCTCTCAAAGTTCTTTGTCATTTAGTGTTTTGGGGCATTACTAGTCGGTGTATTGTCACTTAAGTGGAATTATTATTCAAAATATATCCCCCTACGCACAAAAATTCAAAAGTTGTTTATGAAACTGAAATGTATAGATTTTTGACAAGTTTTTCATTGTCAGAAAGCACTTTTAAAACTAGTGTTTCACTCAGTTTTTCTTTGTATTTTATAACTTCATTCAATAAAAAAGTTTAAATTTTAAGTTTACCGTACACTGACCTTTTCTTGATAGAAATATTTGACACCAACAGATTTGTCTTTCATCGACAAACTATTGGTTTCTTTGTACTAGGTAACTAGACTTTCATAGTTGTAACTCGAATTTTGCTAGTATCTCTCTAGCGTAATTTCTTGGCTCAAGTATAAAACTTTCATTTAAAATGATAATGTATAGAGAAACGTTACAGTTGTTTAAATGATTGAGAAGTGATACTGGACAGTGCATAACACTTAACAGTAATATTGTAACTTAAAAAAAGACCCTTGAAGTTGTATCTTTCTTGATAAATGATATCCTAGGTAGGATCACTCTGAAAGTGATAAAAAATCTTAATTTACAAAAATAAAATTGAGTAAATTTTATTTAATTTTCTAGACTTGATTTGTGTGATTTAAAACAAAACAAAAAAAGAATCTTAAAAATATTTCTAACCCCAATTTGTTCATATGAACGTTTTAGGTGAAGGTAATGGAAATGCTATTTTTTTTTTTTTTTTCATCTGTTTGAACTGGTGTAAAATTGTTGTGAATGTTTTATCTTAAGACTTATCAAGTAAGGTTATAATAGTTTCCTAGAAATTGTAACTGTAAAAGTTAATTTTCAATAAGTAAAGTGGTTTGCATTTACAAAACTATATTGCATCTGTTTTTAGTCCTATCAGGATCTGACAATATTGCTTCATATTCCAGTAGCATTTGACTTTGAAAATCTAATTACACAGTGAATATTGTTACTTGAATGATGTCAGTAAAAAAAAAAAAAAAAATTGCATTGAAGCAAGTCAAGGTCAGCATTACACTTTATCCTTTAAAGAAAATATCTCTATGGTTTCAAGGGGATATATATATATATATATATATATATATATATATATATATATATATATATATGTGTGTGTGTGCATACATGTTCAAATTGTGCAGTCTTCCTTTTAACATATTTTTTCTCTAAAAGTATAGACTTGTAACAAAAACCTGACCAAAACGTTTTTATAGCAAGCTTTTTATTTTATTTAGTCTAAATTTAGATGTTGCCTTTTGACTGTTTTAATCCTCTGCAATGTTAGTTTGTGTGAAATGGATGATGTAGCTTCTCTTAATTTTAAGATTAAGCAAATTGGGTTATTGATTTAAATAGCAACTTCCTCATAAATTTCTCCACTGCAACAAAAGTTTCAATTTGACAATTGAATGTACATTTGATTGGGATTTGTAATAAATTTTTAAAAAATGAACTGTGCTATATAATGAATGACACTGGTCTGTAGAATTTTTTTTTTTTCAGTTAGTTTATTTTAAAATGAGAGTAAATTGTTAGCATGTAAAAAAAATGGAAGCAATTAACTCCTCCAAACTGATTTTGATCATTATTCTCTAATCTCCAATAATTAGGGTTGTCACATTTTATATATATATATATATATATATATATATATATATTTATTATGTGTTAGAATATAAATAATGACCAATGGTAGTGAGGTATTAAACTGACATTGATTCTGAAAAAAAAAAAACTTACGCTTTATTTATGAAATGGGTTGAAAGTAGAAACTTTGCAGATTGTTAAATCTGTTTACAGGCTTTCTTTTGAAAAGTTAACTTTTTTTTTTTTTTTTTTTTTTTTAACTTTTATTGATAAATTTAATGCCAATTTGTTTGTCTAAAGCAGCTAGTATAGAGCTTAATGAGTGAAATTTAAGCATGCCCTTTTTATTTTTACATAAAAAGGGGGCATCATGTGTTTAACTTAATTAGCATGTTTAAAATGTAATATAACAATTTTTTTTTTTTTTTTTTTTTTCCCTCAAAGTGTCTTCCCTCTAAATGCATAAAAACTGTATACTCTACTCCATTCAGTCAGTTGATGGCCAAAAGTATTAATTGGTTAGAATATTTGATTTTATTTACATTGCAACAAACCCATTTTATTTTACTAGAGTTGCTGTTTAAAAAGGTTTAGAATTTATAACAAACTTGAAACATTCAAACTTGCTGTTAATTTAAATGAAAACCATAATTTCCTGTTTCTATTTTTTATTGTATCCACCCTTTTATGAATTTAATTGAAGTTAATTAACTGGGTTTTGAATTGCCTTATCTTTTTGAACTTGTACAAGCAAATTCACTTTGAGAAGTGGAAAATTTGATAGGGGAACATTTTCTATTTTGTGTGGGGATGAGTGTCTGTCAAGTTTCAATACTGGTAAACAAAATAACAAAATAAACAATACTTTGTGAATCGTATTTAATTGAACAAAAGCCAAATATGGTTCTTCATGAAAAAGGTTGCCAAAATTAGTCTTTAATTTATTGTTTAATTCTTATTGTTTAAATAACAATTGGTCTGTTTGGA